GGTATTTTTGTAAATAGACACATTTTTGTCTCATAAAACAAATCAAAACGTACACGTCAAATCCCGCCAAATAGTCAGCGCTATGTTATCTTTGAGCTAATAATGATAAACTTTTTCAACAGAGAGAACGATCCAGATTGTCAAAACCGTAATTATCCTCTCTTTTTGACATTTGTATATCAGTTATCATTGAATAAAAAGTCGAAGCAATTTTCAAATTTTTTTATTCAAACGTTAAATTTATTCAAACTAAAAAGCTTATTTTTTTTAATATCAAATGCATGCAAATATAATATTGATTTCGATTATCATTGGTCACGCTTTAAAAAAGCTGTTTACCCTTGAAAGATTCCAAATCTAGATCTATAATCTTTTCAAAATAGAGGCAAAGATAGATAACGAAAAATTTCAAAAAATACTATTTTTTAAGTGTCATTTTATAAAAATATCATTTCAAAATTTTTTTTTTWTATTWTTTATGTTTAAGTTAATTATGTTTATTAGGGTTTAGTTTTGAGTGCTTAAAGGGTTTTAGGTGTCAAAACATTTTTAGGTTTTAGAATTTTAAGATATAAACTTTATAAATTTATAACTAGTGGTATTTTTGTAAATAGACATCTCTAAGTGATATTCTTGCAAATATGCACATAAAAAACGATATTTTTGTAATTACCTTAAAGACAATTGAATTCTTTTCGTTGTTCAAATTCAAGAACACCTTCAATATTTTTTATTTGTGGACTGTTTGATAATATTGGACGAGATAGTTCTTTACTTTTTAATGCGAAAAAACGACTGTGATGACCGTAGTAGCCTTATCGCAGATCTCTTTTTGCTTCATCCTTTGATGCAACCACCACTTATGAAAACAAACTTTCTAGTGTGTTAACCGTCACTGAAATTGGTTACATCATAGATATCGAAGGATAAAGTCATTGTGTTAGGATCAATGGGATTTGATCTCAAAACCAGTCAAAAAATAATTGGATTGATACCTATCTTTATAAACAAGCTTATATTCTGACATACCTTTTTGAAATTAGAATTTTTGGTAAATGCCATTTTTGAAATGCCATTTTTGAACTGTCACTTTTTTAAAA